GTACCTAGGTCGAGAAGTCAACATGACAAATGACCTGGCACCCGAGCTGCGCGGGAGGAAGAGAGCGGCTTGGAACCCCTTCAAGAATGTCAAAGAAATAGCTAAGAGGACGAAGAACCTCCGGCTCTGGGCACATCTCTTTGATTCCACTGTTTGAGACCTGGGCCCTATGTAAACAGGATGAGAATGCTATTCGGGTCTCCCATAGAGTATTTGAGAGAGCTGTGCTTGGAATATCACGTTTCGCTCAAATGAGAGAAAGAATCTGGAGTTCCGATATCTGTCGACAATCAAGAATCAGGGACGCTGTCTTGTTTGCCAAGGTGTTAAAAATCAGATGGGCTGGTCACGTAATGCGATTTAAAGATGACCGCTGGACTAAAGCTATTACTGACTGGATCCCACAGGATGTCAAAAGACCGCGTGGCCGCCCACCTACCAGATGGTCAGACTTCTTCATCAAGATCATGAACGATCGGTTCGAGGCTCTTCATGTTCCCAGAGCGAACAGATGCCATTGGGCTACACTAACACACGACAGGGACAAATGGAGACGTTACTGGCGCCCGCTCGAGCAAATTGACGACTAACGGGAAGTTAAGTGATAAGTGAAGTAAGGCTGGAGTAGCTTTTTAGTTGGGTGGCAGCTTTGGGATGCGGATGTGAGTGCCGAGGCCTTTGGAAATACAGGGAAGTGGGGGGAAGGTAGTCCATCCTGACCCCGAGCAAATCTGGAGATTTCAGTTACAAAATGCGCATACGAGAATTTTCAGCAGATTATATCTTGGTGAGGTTCGTCCTGTGAGGATGGAGTCAGGCTGGACGGGATTATGATGGCTATTTTTGATTGTGGAAGCAAGCAGCTGCCAGGGACTCTGCTTGGGCAGGCCATCAGGCTGGTTGTCCCCCTCCTATTTACCCTGGTCTGTTCAGCCATGCACAGGTCTGAGATCAACTGTGGCTTTTGATATATTTTGAGTTTTATCTAAGGGTCTCTGGAATAAGGCCAATAAATGAGCTTGGACAGCTGAACTTGAGGTGGTTTGTGGGCATGGCTCCCGCACACTTAACTTTTGGCTGTTTAATTTCTTCTTGAACTTGATCCCAAATTGTTTCGGTCCAGCCAGAGAGGTACAGAGATAATTTTGGGGTATCAGGAAGCCTGAAGGCACCATCAATCTGCTGATGCACTCGCCCTGCATGTACAGGTTGACCTGCTGGCAGCACCCTACCCCTTCCTTTTCTTTCTTTCGTAATATCTTATAATTTTCATCGTATATAGTTTTTTCATCAATTTTTAGGTTTATACCTAGGTATTTTCCCCCTTCCCCTACTCTTCTTCCTGTTGATGTTGTGATGAAGGGGGTTGCACACATGCTTGGTTGCGGTGCTCATCTATTTAGCTGTGGTGCTCACCAGCAATCTTAAATGAGGTTGATACACTTGCTGAGGCTGCACTCTTTAGTTTTAGTGCTTGCTAGGGTTTCTGCTGTGGCCATATAATATTCAATTGACTACAGTCAAACTCTTAACGACAGTACTCGCACATTTTTCAGTTGTGTTACTTGCTGAGAGGTTGTGCCCTTTGATTTTGGTGCTCACACACATGCAACTGTGATATGGTCACAAATTATTGTGGTGTGTGGGCCAAGAACAGCAGTTTTTTTTGGAACAAACATCAGATCTGTCACGATTATACTTGGCACATATGAGGACACTGGGGAACAAACACATTGCAAGCCATGTGTTCTAGTTAGTGAGCTATATCCCAGACCCTATTTTACCGTACTTTAAAAAAATTAGAATGATGTTTCAAATGGGATTGTTTTCTTAACTTCTCTTACCCCCAACTTACTGTTTGCAATTGATAGGAATGCAAAAGCATATTGATTTTAGATCCTGTTACTTTACTGAACTCAGCAAATACTTTTTCACATTTTCTGTGAAATTTTTAGGTTTCTCTCTGTATATAATCATGTCATGTACCTATTTTTAAACTTTTTCCCAATTATTTACATCTTTTTTTTTGCCTAATTTCTCTGGCAAGGACTTCCAAAACTGTTGAAAAGTAGGTGAGGGATGGACCTTCTTGTGCTGTTGAGCAATTTTTTAAATTTCATGCTTTTATTCTAAGCCTTTATTTCCTGTTAGAGTAACTGAATGAGATTGTTCTACTGGGTGGATCCGGGTGACTTATGTAATGAACCAAAATCTACACTTATCTCCGCCTTAGGTTACTGAATCGAAATGCTAAGGACAAATACTCACAAAAAGTTAAATTGATTTTAATCAATAGAAAATCCTAAATTTCCTTTCTTTGATTTTTCTGTATTTGTGCATGTGGAACTCTCAGAATCATTTCCAGTTGGTGCCCAAATCCAACAGATAAAGGCTCAAATCAGCTTGCAAATTTTAATATACCATATTAAAATTAAAACCCATATTTGATATACCATATAAAATTTTTAATGAGGGAAATATATTTTAACACTTCTCATAGCCTTGCCGTTCTTTAAAAAAACTCTAGAGAGAGGAGATAAACAGAGAAGGGGGTGAGAGAGAGTGAGAGAGGAAAAATATCTGCCATAACATCAGTCTGTTGGGGGTTGAGCAGGAGGGAAACTAGGGACATTGGCAGGAAATGTGCACTGGTGAAGAGTTGGGTCTTAGAATATTGTGTGACTAAAACTTAATCATGAAAAACTGTTACTGCGTATTTCATGGCAATTCAATTGAATATTTTTTATGAAAACTTTAGAATATGTTACTCTCCCAGAGTCTCATACTTACCCCACTTTGTAGAATTCCCATCTTTCACTTTTAGAAAATTTTCGAATTCTTCTAAAGATTACTTTTATTTTTAAATTTGGTTCTACTTGGTCTTTTTCACTTGGCAGTGTCGTTTGAGGACATATTTTCCTTGAAGTCATTTAAATAATCATAAAAGTTTGTATTGGATAATTGTTAAAATAATTTCTTTCCAAATATTTTCTTCCATAAATCTAGTTTCCCTTCTTACCCACTTAATTCTGGAAGCTGTTACTTAACACTTGCTAGAGCGGGTACCAGTAACGTCTCAACAAATTGTGAGACCTGTTACAGTTTTTGGCATATCGAATAAGTAAGGTGTAGCTTTCCAGGCTTTGCCTTGTGGGCAAGATACTCTCGGTAGCCTGCCAGGCTCTCTGAGAGGGTCCGAGGAATCTAACTTGAGTTGGCCATGTTGGCTGTGTTGCAAGGCGACGCCCTACCCGCTGTGCTATCGTGCTATGGCTCCAGCCCCTTAACACTTCATTCATTCATTCATTCATCATCCTGTTATTCGTCGATTGCCTCGAGCAGGCCCCAGTAACGTCTCTTTCATCCTATCCCTGAGATTATATTCAAGGTTCTTTCATCCTAGCCCTGAGATTATATTCAAGGCTCTTTAGGAGAATGAGACCCATCATTGTTACTGGTATTTGGCATATTTGGTACGCCACGGGGAGTTTGCCAGACTCTGCCCTGTGGGCAGGCTACATTCGATAGCCTGCAAGTTTGTCCAAAGTAGGAATGAGATAATAAGATGTCATAAAAAGATGTCCTGATAAGACATTCGTGGCCGCGCGGTTCCGGGAGCTGGATTTTATACACTTAATCATCTCAATTTACGGTATAAGGGAGATACAAAGTACATTCCTTTTTGACACCAGTGCTTTAAAATAATTTCATTTCACTTGCTAATTCAGAGTATGGAGTGTGATTCTCGGTTCAATTCTTTCTATAGGTCATGTATGTGGTAAATGTAGTATCTTGTTAATTAAACAGTATGATTACAAAGCAATAGAGACAAGTTGTGTTTGTTTTTGGAATCATTATTTTCTTTTTCAGAGTAGTCTATGGACGATGATAAGTTTTTATTAAGATCTCTCTAAGAACAGTTTCGTTAAATTGAAGTAGATGTAAAAGAGATAGGTAGGATATTCAAATTAATGATAAAGGGATATACCCAAGCATCTGTATAGTTTTATTTTGCAAAGTGTACAGACTAGTGAAAAATATTTCAGTAAGTCTCACTGTGGTAGTGGTGGTGGTGGTGATAGGGAGGGAGGGGTGGCAGTGCATGGGGACTTGAATTCAGGTCCTCAGAATGAACTCTTATTATCGAGATTGATTACTTGCATTTGTTCAGTTGTGAACCTTCAGAATGCCACCTAACGCCCAAGCTTGTATTTCAAAAATAAACTTTAAGGTTGTTTTATGATCAAAGTGATTTGCATAAGCCATACTGACAGGATGAGAAGAATCTCCAGATATTTTGAAGATCTTGGCCCCACTTCAAAAGTGACAGAACAGAATGCAGATAATTTTTCCACGTTTTGGAAGACAGCCGTTTGGCCGAGACACAGAGACCCCCTAGGCTTCCTTGCAAACGTCTCAAAACACCTTTTTCATTCTGGAACTCCACATTTCAGCCACATTTATTATTCCTCAAACTCTGCACCACCATTCCTCACAAACGATCTCGCGACATTTCTTTCGTCTTAAAAGGTCCTTGAAGCATTTGTAGTAAGCGTTTCAAGGAGCTTGGTAGCCCTCCGATAGACACGTGTTTTTAACATATTCAGGAGAAGAATAACTATTTCATCCCCAGGTAATACAGTTTCCTTTGTGTTTGCAGAGAGGACGGAGAAGATGAAACAACTTCAATCTGGGGAACCTCTCATCAAGTGACCTAGAGTGAACACGGCTTCGCTTCGAACGATTTGTTTGGTACCCAAAGCCGTGGAACGGGGAGTTAGCATCCTTCCTTTGATCCGATGTTTCTGAAAGGCGGCGTTTTCGCGCATCGGAACATGGTCTCCCAGCCTCACAACACCTCCTCCCAGCCCGCCCCGATTCCTTCCCACCCGCTACCTCGTCCCCCCTCCCACCCCCGCCTGCGCATGCGTCCTAAGAAGCCCCTACCCTCGCGGCCCCGGCAGCGAGTATTGTCGGGGGCTATTCTCTCTCCCACCAACATGGCGGCGAGTCAGGGAGGTGGTGGGAACAGTGGGGGCGGCGGGGGCGGCGGAGGTGGAAATAGTAGCGGTGGCGGCGCGGCTGGAGGAGGGAGTGGCGGCGCTGGCGCCGCCGCCGGCGGCGGCGGGGGGGGCCCCGTGGTGGTGCCCATCCCCGTGCCGACGCTTTTCGGCCAGCCGTTCCCCACCGGGCCGCAGTGGCACCCAGCGAGCCTGCAGCCTCAGCACACCGTGAGGAGCCTGGACCGGGCCTTGGAGGAGGCCGGCAACTCTGGCATCCTGAGCCTCAGCGGTAGGAAACTCCGAGACTTCCCGGGTAGCGGCTACGACCTGACGGACACCACTCAAGCAGGTGACAGGACGCGTGGGGGGAGGGTGAGGCGAGGGGGAGGGGAAGCGGGCCGAGGGGGGGGGGGGGCGTTCGGGGGTCGTCGCGCGGCGCCGTGGCTGCGGGCTCCGACGCGGAGGGTCCGGGCGGGGAGCGTGGGGGCGGGGGCGGCGACGCAGGCCCAGTTGCGTGCTCGCTGCGGGGGCCGACGGAGCGCCGTGGTGGGCTGCAAAGCCTGCCGAAGGATGTGTGCAAACTGGGCGGCTTGGGAGGGGGTGATGTGCATTGTTGACCCAGTCTGTTGCCCCGGTCCAGAGGGGCTGTGGAGGGAGGCACCGAGGTCTTCCTTCATCTAGGTCTTCCAATTCCAGCTGCACACATCTGGAATGGGGGTGATGGGGGTGGGGGCAGAAGAGACAATGCATAAAATCTCTATCTCTACATATTCCTTAAAGGCTTGTGTGCTTGCTCGGGGGTGGAGGGGGTGGGGTAGAGACAATACAGAAAACCAGCCTCTGTGCATATTCTCTTTTAAAGGCATATGTACTTGCAAAAAATGGCACAGCCCTCGACTTCAGCAGCAGCCTGGCCGCGGTTTTTCTGAGCTCTTAACGGTGTGTGTGTGTGTGTGTGTGTGTGTGTGTGTGTGTGTGTGTCCCTGTGTCCCGGCGAAGGTAGTGGTAACGGGGTGTGTGTGTGTGTGTGTCCGTGTCCCTGTGTCCCGGCGAAGGTAGTGGTGGCTGAGCTCTTAACGGTGTGTGTGTGTGTGTGTGTGTGTGTGTGTGTGTGTGTGTGTGTGTCCCTGTGTCCCGGCGAAGGTAGTGGTGGCTGAATAAGTATTTGTTGCAGAAGCCAATTAAGGCTTCAGTCACGTGTCTGGTTCAAGAAGGGGGAGACGAATCCTTGTTTGGAGTTCTGTAGGAGCCCTGATTTTTATGACTGACATAGCCACATTTTTAAAGAGCATTTTTAAGAAACAAGAACAACTCCATTTTTTGGAGTTGTAGGCTAATGGCCTATCCTTGTGAATAAAAAAAATGCCTGCTGCAGTGATCTTCATATATTTCGTACTCTTTGTTGTTGATGACATTTTTTTGTTTAGTTTTGTTTTGAATACACTTGCTTTCCCTTCTGTCTTAGAGACCAATGCTGACTATTTGTGGTATATTTTGGTGTGATGGAAAGAAGTTTTTGTTTGCCTTTCGTAGTCTTCAAATTTTTGTGTCTGATTTCTTCTGCTATTCTGCAAGAAATGATGGCTGAAATTATTTTAATATACATAATTTTGAAGAAATGCAGTGAGTTGATTCATTTATAGTGGGAAGTAATACAAGACCTTTATTTTTAATATAGCATTGTTTCATTGTATTCAGTTTTGGATATTTAGGTTTATATTTGGGGAAGGGTTTATGAACAGATTTTATGAAGTCTTATGAACAAATTTCATAAACAATATGTTGGTATGTCCGTGACTAAATTGGCATGATATTATACTACTTGGTGTGTTCTTCAAAGGAAGGCTTCAAGAAAAACGGTGTCAGAGTGCATCATTAAGGAGATACGTTGTTTTTTTATTTTTCCTTATAACCTGTAAACTGTCCCTTTATTGAGGACAGAATTTTAGAACTCTCTGTTCCAATGAGGTCCACACTCTTCGATATTGTAGTTGTTTCTGCTCTTCTTTGTAAAAGGTCATCCGTATATTTGAGATTTTCTTTTTTCCACCTATTTTATTCAAGTTGCAGCTTTTCCATTGAAGCAGTTGGTCCCCAACTCCCTTTGGGGTCTACAGCAGTCTTGTTTCTTTGAATTCTCATGGTACTTAACTGTCTTTATCACCAGTGCTGATTTTATTTTCTTTGTATGTTTGTATCATGTCCCTGAGAAGGTGAGATCTTCTTAAAGTAAGAAATCATATACTTATTGGGTTTTCTCTTTTTATATTGATCATAATGTACTTGGTTATGTATTTTCATAAATATGAATATGCATGTACATATAATAATCTTGGTTTTTAACCCTTGAGTATGTTTTCCCAGGCACACTTTATTTTTTTTATTTTTTTATTTTTTAAAATTTTTTTATTAGTGAAACACCATGAGGTACAGTTATAGACTTACAAATTTTTGTGCTTGGGTTTCAGTTATACAATGATCAAGTACCCATCCCTCCACCAGTGCCCATCATGCACCACCACGGGTCCCAGCATCCCCCCCTCCCCCTCCCCCTGCCTCTGTGGCAGGGTATTCCCCCTTGTTCTCTCTCTCTTCTTTTGGGTACTGTGTTTTGCAAGAGAGGCATTGAGTGGCAATCATGTTTGCTCTATAGACTACTTTTAGCATGCTTCTCCCACCCTGGGAGGGTCCTCACAACACCCTTTATTTGGTGCTCTCTTCTCTATCTGAGCTTGCCCAGGCACACTTTAACAGATACCAGAGCACACATATTCTTGATAAACATTCATCATAAACGTTATGATTTCCTACAGTGATATGGGAATTTTTGAGATAATTTTACCTTTTATTTTCAGTTGAATGCATGTTTTCTGGGAAAACACTAAAATGTAAATGAAAAGTACATGGGTGACCCAGTGACCGTTCGTTTGTTTTTGGAAAAAATTCAGCCATGAACACTTTAGAAGTATTATTTTGTATGTAAAGACATGAGTATATATTATGTATAAATTAGAGACACTGTTATTGAAGAAAATAGAGCATGGCTGAGGCTATTCATATAGATAGCATTAACATAAATATATGTAAATACACCATATGTCCTCTTATGAAAAGTTGTTTGCTGATATTATATTAGAAATGGCTTCAGTGGGGGGTTCCAGAACCGAACAGATCAGACAAGCATAACAAGGTTTATTGTAATGGGAAGAGATTGGAGGAAGGAAAACTAGATAGGAATCCAGAAAGCTATTCTGTTAATCCAGGTGTGAGGCTTTGAGAATATTGATTGAAGTAAAATTGCATAAGAAGGGGGAATTGATAAATTTCAAAGGAAAAGGGAGACTTTTAAAATTATTCTGCTATTGTGTGTGTGTCTAAGTGCAACATCAAAAAAGACCAGTAGCTTTATTTCACTTTAAATCATAAGGGAAGAGAGGCCAGAGTAGGGTAGCCCTACTTTGCCTTCCCCACAGCTGAACCTGGTTCCATCCCTGGCATCCTATAAGATCCACTGAGCCAGCCAGGAGTGATTTCTGAGCTCATATCCAGGAATAATACCTGAGTGCTGCCAGGTGTGACCCCAAAACAAATAAAAAAAATTAACAAGTGTAGGGATGGAGCCATAGAACAGTATGGCTCTTGTCTTTACTCAGAGAGTCTCCTGACACTCCATAAGTTCCCCCAAACCCTGCCATAAGTGATCCCTGAGTGCAGAGCCAGGAGAGTAAGCCCTGAGACACCTCTGGGTATGACCCCAAATTAAATAATAATAATAATAATAATAATAATAATAAATCACAGTGAAAGTTTGAAACAAAAGACTCAGACCTTACCCTAATCCAGACCAATTAAATCATACCATTTTTTGCCTTTTTTGTTTCACATCCAGTGATACTCAGGTGTTACTGCTGGCTCTGTATTCTGGAATTAATCCTGGCAGTGAGTGTGCAATCTTATGGGATGCTGGTGATCATGCCCTGATCAGCCCTGTGCAAGGAAAATGCCCTCCCCGCTGTACTCTCTCTCTGGCTGGACCAATTAAAAAATAAATCAGGGGCCAGGATACTTAAAAAAGGTTCTCAGGTAATTTTGTTGTATAGTTAGGACTGATAAACCACACTACCTCATTTTCAAAGACTCAGGAAATAATTATTGTTTTGAGAGAATGAAAACATTGATAAAAATTCAGTGACTGAGTGAGTGAAAAAATTAAAAGAGAGTCAAAACCAAAACTAGGGACAAAATCTTCCAGTTTTCGTTTAGTAATCTTTTTTTAGATAGCTTTGTGTGAAGTCAGTATTTTTTTTAATTCTTCATCATATTATGTGATAGTGATTTGATTTCTCATAAAATTTCAAATCAAAGTTTGATTTGAACTTTACTAGGAGGCAAGGAGACTTTCTGTTTTTATATTATAGTTTATGTAAGATGGTTAAAGTTTATGGTTTGATGTATAAAGTCACTGTACCCGACCACTACAAAAGTGAAGGGACCCACCACAGTGTCAGACAATGTCACCTTTATTCTGAACTCTATTGCTATCCTTCCTGCTTCCCATTCCACACTGCTTAGTAATCTTTTTCTAAAAATCTAGGCCTAGGGATTATCATTGTTCCATACTTTTTATTCCCTTGTCCTGTCTCTGTTCGTCAGATGAGTGAGATTATCCAGTATTTATTCTTCTGACTTATTTTGCTTAGCATGACACTCTCCAGTTCCATTTATGTTTTTTTCTTTTTTGAGGGGGAGGGGCACACCTGGTGCTGCTCAAGGCAAACTCCTGGCTCTGCACTCAGTAATCACTCTTGGTGGTACTCAGAGGACCATATAAGATACTGGGGATCAAATCCAGTTTGGCCACATGGAAGGCAAGTGCCTTACCCATTATCTCTCCAACCCTCAGTTCCATACATGTTGCGGAGATACTTTATTTTGCTACATTGCATAACTCTTGGTTACATTCAGTAATGTTCAGTAAGTTTGCACTTAAAAAACAGTGCCCTTAGAATATGTAGTAGCAAATTCATGTGTTAGTATTGTTATGGGAGGCGGTGGGGGGATAGTAGATAGGGAGCTGTTGGCAAATTTTATCAATTTATTTTATCATTTATCTTTGTATTTCTGGATTGGAGATTTTTGGGAGGGAGATTTTTTAAAATTTATTTTAGTTTTTTAAAAATTTTATTGAAACACTGTGAGATATTTACCAGCTTTCATGTTTGTGTGACAATCACGCAATGATCAAACACCCTCCCTCCACCAGTGCACATTACCCACCACCAATATCCCCGATATACCCCCCGCTTTTCCCACCCTCCCCTTGCCTCTATGGCAGACAATATTCCTCAT